GATCTGTTGTTTAAACAATCACAGTTACCCCGCTCAGTCTTCAGCGACGCTTGTGACGGCAGCACCAAGTCGTGTTACCTGCAATCCTTTTTATTGAAAAGATGAAGTACAGACAGAAACAGAACCGATTCCAGAGAAAAGAAACTTCAAAGAAAGGTGATGCAGCCACTAAAGTACTATATTGAAAAAGAAGAAGAAAAAAAAGAAGGCAGTGAGTGAAGAAGAAGAGGAAGAAGAATAAGAATAATTGTGTAATAAAAAAAAGTCAATTTAAAGAAAAACATACTGACAAACTACATTTCCAGGCCCATAACAGCCCATCACCATTTTGGACAACATATCTCGCAGGAGAAATTCAGAAACAAAATAGTTTCCAGCTTCCACGATTACATGTCTCTGTAATGCCGTGTTATCTCAAAGACTCCTGACAACCATGTTGCTGGGTGCTATTATATAAACGGATTCTGGCAGACAAATAATAAACACGTAGTAACATTACCACTGAGGGAGAATGTTAATAGAAGTGGAGGAATGTCATTAAGATCTCGAAAAAAGATTTCTTTCCCCTTCAGTTATGCGATTACATAAACAGTCAGGGAAGCGTAGGGTGAAATCTTGGTTCACAGATTTGGGCGTGTCCCCAAGAGGTCTATTTGGGGGTTTAAGGACGCACTAACTTTCATCATGGCACGCGTTTGTTTTGTGGTGTACAATGAAACGCTGGAACTATGGTAGAGAAACAATCTAAGTTCAAGTCCAGCTGGAATCTATTTATTTTCTCCGTGATACTTCTACGTGGAGAGTATTATTCCAGGAAAGCGCGACAGGGGGTCGACCGGTGCGATGATGTATATGGAAAGCAAAGGACACTGTGAGAGTAATTACAACAATGAGAGTAAAGAGAACACCAACATCTCATCACTGTTAAAGAAGAGACATTAAAACAAGCTTAGGAGTTTAAGTACGCAGGCAGTGTAATTAATGAACATATCCGAATGGATACGTAAGACTGGACAGAGAAATAAAAAACTTAACAGAGAAGGTCATCCTCATCAAGTAGCAGATCCTTTGCAGAACGTCGCTCTCATCACGGTCTGCCTGAAAGAAACTACGTCTCTCGCCAGCTCTCCTGCCTCATGTACTTTCATACTCCAGGAGTCACTTATATCATGAGCCCATCTTCGAGTTGGTCGGCCCCTGTCCCTCCTTCCTGGTACCATGCCTTCTGCTATTATTTTTTTTTTAAATCCGTTGTTGAGCTTGATATGATCAAAATATTTCAGCTTCATAGACAGGATTCTGTTTATTAGCCAATCTTCCTTGATGTTCAGATCTTTCAAGATGTCAGTATTTCTCCTTTTCTTTGTCCAAGATGTTCTGAGAATCTTTCTATAGTATTTCAGCTCAAAAGCAACTATTCTCTTTCTTAAGAACTAGAAGACAGTCCACGACTCACATCCGTTGGTTGCTACAGGAAAGATGTATGATGTCAAAATTATAATTTTGATTTCCTAATGTGCTTAACAATAGACTTTTAATGCTGTTTAAACAGAGAAGGTTGACAACATAAAATTACCGAACAGTGTCACTTTTGAGACACAGGAATATAAATATGCACACACAAAAAAGCAGTTGATAAATGCGCCTTTCGTAACAACTGTGTGCTATAAATGTCAGACATGGATAGTCCTAGAAAAATATAAACGCAAAATTACAAGATGTGAAATCTTATTCTTTGTCTTCTTCTTCGCGTTCACCAGCTGTAAACTCTGGCGGAAAGTTCTGCTTGTTCATCCAATTCTGGACTGCAGTCCTGTTACAAATCCCCCAGTGTTGCGTGTGCATCCGTTTTACAGTTCTGACTCATTTGTATGCAGACTGCTAGTTCTTTGCCTCTCAGGCAGATGCACTCCGACTTTAAAGTAAACCCCCATTTAGTCGGCCTTTACGACATGATTTGGGGCAGGCAGTGGGACTATACATTTTTTCCCTATAACAGGGCGCCACCAGAACCCACACTAGGAAAGATGTGAAATAAGATGTATAAGAAATGTGGTGGGAAAAACATGGAGAGACAGAGTCACCAACGAAGAACTAAAAACTGTAAGCCCCGACGGAAAGCTCTTGCTATTTGTCTATTTGGACTTTGGCTTTGTGCCAGGGCATGACTTCTGCGCGTACATCCGTTTTACTGCCTTATTTGTGTGCAGTTTGTTGTTCCTTGCCGTTTGGGCAGATGCACTCCGACTTCGAAGGAAGTCCTCAGCTAGTCGACTCCTACGACATGCTTGTTGGGGAGGCAGTGGATCTATTCTTGTTTTCCCCTGCAATGGGGCGCTCGCATCTACATGGGGAGAACTAAGAACAATGGTAGACACAGTTATGATGTCACAAAACATCAAAGAATCAAATGGTTTGGACGACTAGTCAGAATGAAACCAAATCAGCCAGCAGATAGAGCGTACTACATGGGAACAGCAAGGTACAAGCCAAGCGGCCGACAAAGAAAGAGATAGATGGACGGAGTTGAAGAGACACTTCAGAAACGCAGTATGACATTTATATTGGTCTTCTTCTTCTAGATCCCCGGATGTAAACTTCTGGTTGTTCGTTCACTTCTTGACATTAGTCTGGTTCCAGAACTTGAGTTTTGCGTGCACATTCGTTTTATAGATCTGGCTTATTTGTATAAAAACAGTTCCTCGCCTCTCTGGCAGATGCACTCGACATGCTTATTAAAAGAAGCCCAACGCCCCTGCGACCCCTTTACGGCATAAGCCTTCCCCCCCCCCACCTCCCTCATCGAAGTCGGGGGGGAGATGTAACCTACACGATGAAGTATGACATGAATACAAGATACCCAACTATCAAAAGACAAGAAAATGCGTCCAACTCCTCTCTGCGACGCTTTACGGCATAAGCAATAGGACAAAAGAAGGTACTTTCGTAATATCCGACCATAAACAAGGGAAAACCCAAAAGAATAAAGAAGATGGACACGTCGGAAGTAACAGTTCACGAGGCAAACAGTTGGCAAGGAACCTAGTGGCTTTTTTGTGATTTCGTGATTAAAGTGCCGTTCTGCGATGGACCTACGGAATGATGCTGTTGCCTATCTAATCGCAAACATCAATTTTCATTTCTCCAAGCTGTGTCTGATGATTTAACCACCCGTGTGACTCCGAGAGTCGCACTCATGGTGGGAAACCTTGTGCAAGTCAAAGGTACCCAGCTGAACCCTCTCGCCTCGAGAGAGAGAACACACACAAATACCCCCCCCCCCCTTTCCCCCTCCACACACACACACACACTCATACACACAAACACAAACATACATTATTTAACGTATTCACATCCTGACGTTCTACATGTTTGTGCATGCGCGAAAGCAGCGAATAAGAGTAACTATGCGTCTCGTAGACACATCTCTATGGACTTGTCAGAAAAGTGACATTTACGATGTATTGGGCCCAAACGGAAGTATCGTTTTTCTCGCTTCTATGAGTTATAAAATTACCATTTAAATAATTTATATATGGTCACCTAACCAGACAGCCCTGTGGAAACCAAATGGCCAACCCACTTCACGGTGAGCAATAGATTATCCAAAGTGCAGTTAAATTAATTTTCATAATATAACATTAATTCATCGTGCAAATATCATAAATCAGCATCATCGCCATTTTTATTAACTGTCTTATTAACTGGGGTGAGCAATCATATTGTTTCATATCTGTTGATATCCAACAGTGTGTATCATTTCAAGTGATAACTCATATCCTTGACATGACAAAAGACTACTGGTGGGAATAAGATATGTGGGAAAGGGTGTGTGGAAACAACGTGAAGTAGCGAACAGATCAACCTGGTTTAGAAGGAATGATGCAAAGGAAGTGACCGAGGCAAACATTGAGTGCTCAAAGGAATGGCAAGAGAAGCGTATAATCAGACTACTGTATACACTCCTAATACTGGAACCTTCTCCGTGTGGGTTCTGTGGTCCCACTGTGCGAAAAACCAGAATAGACCCACTGGCTCCCCAGCAAGCATGTCGCAAGAGCAGACTAAGTGGGGGCTTCCTTCAAAGTCAGAGTGCATCTGCCTAGGAGACAATGAAACAAACAGTCTGCATACAAAAAAGCAATATGTGTAAAACGAATGAACATGCAAAACACGGGTCCTGGAACAAAGCTAAAGTCCGGAAATGGACGAACTACCAGGTCTTTCCGCCGGGGTTTACAGGTCAGTAAACGCAAACAACACCTACAAACAATGTTGCAGAACGGGACGAACATGCCGAACGTTGTGATGTCGATTCTATATTAAAATTGTTCTTCTATGAAAAAAAAAATTTAAAAGAACTGACAAAGCTAAGATAATTTTAGATGCTGATCAGAACATTACATCATACAACATCAGAATAGTGACGCAGTGGATTCCAGGCCACTCTGGCACACCAGGTAATGACAGAGCTGACAGACTGGCAAAGAAAAGGAGCAACACAAGAATAACCACATACAGCGGCAACCGTACAGACAGCAAAAACCCTTATACGAGCTATAAACAAAGAGACTTGGCTGAACAGATGGGCCATGGGAGATACTGGAAGAGAGGTTTATAGACATATGGCTGGCCCTGATCCTAACGACAGCATTTACCATCTAACAAGGAGGGACCATGCCACCATCTTCAGTCTCAGAACAATACACATTGCACTCAATAGGCATCTTAACAGAATACAGCCACAACACTCCCCAGAGTGCCAGCTATGTAACTACCCCTACGAAACGGTTGACGATCATCTCTTTGAGTGTTCAAAACTCAGCGAGACTAGAAGAACGCTACTCCCTCCGAGACCAGACAAGTGGAACACCTTGTACGGAGGAAAAGAACAGCTTGTGAAAATATGTAAATTCCACTACATGGCATTGGGCCAAAGGGCGAAAGCTCATGTGCCACTGGATCGATGACAACAACACCAACAACATAAGAACATTTACCTTGTGATGTCAGGTAATGAATATTATCATTTCCTAGCCAAAATTCTCCCTCCAGAGATCCAAACCCCCGCTTGTAGTCCTCCCATGTTCTGTAGAAATCCACTGAGCCATCCTGGCGTTTCTGAATGACAGTCCAACCTGTGGGTACACAGTCGCTCGACACAATTAAACAAACAAATCAAAGGCATTTAAAATCATGCAGTTAAAGTTAACTTAGAAAGTCGGGAGAACAGACTTCAGTCTTCCAGGTTTGACCCCTGTAATCTCGGTCTCTCTCCCTAGGACGATTAGCTACTTGCCGATAGCGTCACATAAAGCTCGAACTCTGTAGCGTCGATCCCCATGGATCCTTGTATAAATTACACAGCAGCCAGGAAACGAGCTTTAGGCCCTTCAGAACGAGAGCAAATGATTTGACTACTTCGCTACTGAAACCTCGACCCATGTAACACCGTGTGTAGCCAAGCTCATGATAAAAACTAAAAATATGACTTTTCATACATGTCGTAGGAGCCGGTTGTAGAAGACTGGAGTGTGACTGCCTGCGTCATCGCTTTGAAAATTTTAGCTGTAAAACCAAACTAAATCACAAACATATCTGCAAAGTATATGCAAAATCATCTTACAGAAATTGACTCACGAAGAGAACTGATTGCCCTCATCAGAAAGAGACAATCTACATTCTTTGCCCATGTGACGAGAAGGAGAAAACTGGAGTACATCGTGACTGTAGGAAGGCTGGAGGGGAGGAGAGAAAGAAGGAGACAGAGATAATCGATGCTGGACGGTTTGACATCATGGCATGGAAGATCATCGGTGTCAGAGTTGATTGAAAGTGCACGAAACTGAAGGTTGTGGATAGACATGACTACCAACGCCACACGGCATGGACTAGGGAAGATCATCTGTGTCAGAGTTGATTGAAAGTGCATGAAATAGAAGGTTGTGGATAGACATGACTACCAACGCCACACAGCATTTACTTCAAAAAGAGTATTTGCTATATCTTCAGTTTCTCTTAAAAGACTTTGCAATTATTGCACTAATAACTGACTATATCTTTAATGTTCTGTGTGAAATGCGAATTTTTGTTCAGCTGATTATTAGGGAACATACACAGTTTTATAATTGTAAGCTTCTTCTGTGCCTTATGGGCCATGTTGTTTAGCGGTTGGTGAGGTGAATACATTTCACAATCCTTGTACCAGGTTCGAATTTTCGGCGGACGTTTTTTTTTTTTTTTTTTTACACCCTCACCGGTGATCTGGACAGGAGCCTTCTTGGTCTAGTGGCTAGCCGCTCACCTGCAGAACCCAAGGTCGTGGGTTCTATCTAATCCGAACAAAGCCGAGCGATTTTTAACGATTTTTGAAAAAGATAAAATAACTTTGGCTCCCAAGTTGACGGAGCCTAAATGAGTAACAGGTAAAGTCCTAGGAAGTAAAAGTGGTCGGCGTGAGGTTGACCACATCGGCTACTAAGTGGCGACTGGCCTTTAAAAAATAGAGATAGAGTCCGGTCCAGAAGTCATGATAAACTGTAGCAATATGTAACTCAGTAACCTTTCGGTCAACTCAAAAAACTAGTTTTCTTTTGGTCATATTTGCGGTATATTAAGAGAAAACCAGCTACCAATTCAAAGCAAACAATTAACATGCTCGCAGTTAACTGAGTAACGGGAACTTTTCAAATCATTAGATTGCACGCTGGTTTAATAGGTACACTCTCAGGTGGTGATCTCCAGCGTTAGTCTCCCGTCGCTTGTAGATTTTTTTTAATTGAATGCGTGATAGGCTATCAAAATAATTACCCTGCATTGCTGAATATGTGAACTATTTCTAAATAAACTCTTCAAGCATGTGTCAATTACTTTATATTTTAATTTTTCTATAGAGGGTCACAAGTTATTAATCAAACAAATATCCAAGAAATTCCCCGCTTTAAGAAAAACAGCAGCACCTGTGCAACTGTAAATTATAAAATCATAAGGATATCATAAATCTAAGGTCACGTGCAACAAACCATGTTGATTCCTATGGGGTTTTGGAGATATTTGTTATAGTGTGAGGGCACAAGTTTTGAAACGCATTATATGCACAGTACTCCTGAAGGCTTGTGAAAGGGACTCCCTATATTACATGTTACTGTCACTGGGACAGGGGTAAAAAACTCGCACAGCGAAAAAGATCGATGCCTCAACACGTAATATTCCTAAAAGCACCAGTAGGTTACTACTACAGCTTTGGTTACTAGCTTGTAAGACATAATGAATAGACGTAGACACATACAAGAATTACTGAAGAGGGATGGTCTTTACGACGGTCACTTTGGTGGTGTTTGTTAAATTATTCTTCTAAATTATTCTTGTTTTGATGTTTACTTTGCATTGCATTTGTCAATCATGTCGGAATATGCTGACTCGTTTCTCCAAGCTTCGATCAGTTCTGCACATATAAGCAGCTTCACATCTGCATTTACTTTGGTAGAGATACAATTAGTATAACAGGCAGTTGCTCTTTTCAGTGAGGTTGAATTTGTGATATGCCGGGCAATAAATTGTGAAGTCTATTGTTTGTGTCTTTTTTGTTCAAATTTACAACGGGGAAACATTGTTCGAAAAAAATAATGTAAATTCAAGCAAGATCTTGTCACGTCTTTCCGTAAGCTACTGAACAGTACGGAGGCATAAATGGATCATCGCGGTCTGAAGTGAAAAGTTTCTTCTTCTTCTTCTTCTTCTTCTTCTTCTTCTTCTTCTTCTTCTTCTTCTTCTTCTTCTTCTTCTTCTTCTTCTTCTTCTTCTTCTTCTTCTTCTTTATCATCATCTTTTTCTTCTTCTTCTTCTTCATCATCTTCTAATTCTTTTTCTTTTTTTTTCTTCTTTTTATTTTTCTTCTTCTTCTTCTTCTTCTACTTTTTCTTCTTCTTCTCCTTCTTCTTCTGCATCTACATTTGCCCTTTAAATGACAGCTGGTAAGTTGGTTTAAGTTGAGCTGCGATATATGTACTTCTTTATCTAACTCTGACTTCAGCACACACCTAATTAGTCGCGTTTTACGACATTTTTATTATCGCGCAGTAGGTCTATTTCCTCCTTCACACCCTCCTCCTCTCCCCCCCCCCCCCCCCCACCTTCGCCCCAAACTTGGGTGTTGGAACTCGCACATGGATACCTGCTATACTACAACAATCAGCAACTGGTCTTGGGCAATACACACAATAGTTTTCTCAGAATGGAAAAAGCAGCCAGCAGCTAGAGCGTACGACATAAAAACAGAAGACTATGAGGCAAGAGGCTGACAAAGAAACACATCGATAGAGGGAATAAAAGAGACCACTCTGCGACCCTTTATGGCGTAAGTAGTAGGACAAATGAAGGAAGAAGAAGAGACTGGTTACACAAGAGAATCACTAACAATACTCACCGGAGCTGTTGACCATCTTACACAGGGCTTTGAATGCATGAGGAACACCCGCGGGTTTGATCATGATGTAGTAGTCCCCCATGAACCTCATCCCTCCATTTTCAAACACATCCTGGCATTCTGAAAACAACAGTTGAAAGCAAAAAAAGTTATGAAACTATACGATATTACAAAAGTGGACGAACAACCAGAACTTCCCACTGGAGTTTACAGTCGGTGAACGTAACCAAGAAAAATAACTTTACTTTTTATGCTATATACACGATGGTGACAAAACATATATCTTGTACCTTACTATTTAGCCCGGCTCTCTAGCGTAGTTGGCAAACCGGATTGCGCGGAGACAGGGTGACAAACTCCTTGTGGTCCGGGTTCAATCCCGGGGGTAGGCAGGAAAGGCACATTTTCTCCCAGATTTATGGTATTTACAATGGAATCAAGGCCGAAAGGTTGCGATATCCATAATACCGAGCCTAGGGGTTAACAACTCATGGCTTCTGGATACTAAAATAAACAAACCTTACTATTTAAGCCATATACACAATGCGCCCTTGCCAGAACACATATCTTTTTCTTTACTTTTTAAGCCATATACACGATTCGCCCTTGCGAAAACACATGTCTTTTACTTTACTTTTTAGGCCATATACACGATGCGCCCTTGCGAAAACACATGTCTTTTACTTTACTTTTTAAGCCATATACACGATGCGCCCTTGCGAAAACACATGTCTTTTACTTTACTTTTTAGGCCATATACACAATGTGCCCTTGCGAAAACACATGTCTTTTACTTTACTTTTTAGGCCATATACACGATGTGCCCTTGGTCAGAACACGTATCTTTTACTTCACTTTTGAAGCCATATACACGATGCACCGGCGTCTGTGGCTTAGGCGTTGCGAACACGCTTCGTAATGTCAGGGTGCCGGGTTCGATGGCTGCTGAGGACGGTTTGTCTTGCGATGGTTTCGACCGTGGTACCAAGCGTCGACTGTCCAGAAAGCAACGGCAAACTACTAGACGTAAATTTACCAAGAAAAACCACAACAGCCAGAAAGTGCTGGGGTTGGTTCTGCAACGTCCTCTAAAGGATATGCAACTAAACTAAATTAAAAATACACGATGCGCACTTGGCGAGAACACGTATCTTTTACTTTACTTTTTAAGCCATATACACGATGTGCCCTTAGCGAGAACACATATCTTTTACTTTAATTTTTAAGCCATATACACGATGTGCCCTTAGCGAGAACACATATCTTTTTTTCTTTACTTTTTAAGCCATATACACGATGTGCCCTCGGCGAGAACACATATCTTTTAATTTACTTTTTAGCAATATATACACAATGTGCCCTTGGCGAGAACACATATCTTTTCCTTTTTACTTCACTTTTTCAGCTTGTCTTGTCTTTTCAGCATGACATCTGACAGTGAGGGATGAAACATTCGACGAGTGCCCGTGAGCTGTGACCAGCTGAAGAGATACGTTCATCCAAACGTGACCACCAAAGACAGGTGACAGGGGAGTGATTAAGAAGGTACGCCAGGAAGAGCGGGAAAGCGGGAGAATAAAGTTAGAGCCAGGGGCTTGAGAAGTTAGTTAGCCCCGGAACCGCTTGAGAGGACAGTTAGGACCGGACAGCTTGAGAGACCAGTTGAGAACACCAGTGCTGTACTTCGTTTAGAAGGATATGTTAAACTTGGAGTTTAACTAGAACAGAGAGTTAGCTCCGGAACCGCTTGAGAGGACAGTTAGGACCGGACTGCTTGAGAGACCAGTTGAGAAAACTAGTGCTGTACTTCGTTAGAAGGTATATGTTAAACTTGGAGTTTAGCTAGAACAGTGAGTTAGCCACGGAACCGCTTAATAGGACAGGTTAGGGCTGAACCGCTGGAAAGACCAGTTAGGAGAAAACTAGTGCTTTACTTCGTTTAGAAGGTACATGTTAAACTTGGAGTTTAGCTAGAACAGTTGTCAAGGAACTCGTAGAGAGTCATACGAATAGCCTGTATTCAGATATAAAGTATTCATATACTATTGCTTTTTGAATTTATGAAGCCTGTGTGATGAGAATATTGTAAATAAACCAGCTCTTGTGTAATTGATTACATCACTGGCCTTGTTCTTGAGTACGATTGAAGAGAGCTACGAACTATATTCATTCAACTTGGCCGAATTAGGCACATCTATTTCTTGGGGGATGTATAGACACGACTGTGCCACAATATCACATACACTAGAGTTCATTGATGACTACCTGATCGCTGTTAATATGTGTTAAAATCATAATAAATCAGATCTCCGACAGTGAATGTTACCCACATTACCTTCGCTTGGCCACACATGTCTCACATAAAAGAATACAACAGTCGATACATGTCTCCAATCAAATGCCTCGGTGATTACCCCTACAAGCAGCTTTGACAGCATACATTTGATGGTCTCATTGCAACAAGATTTAGGAACCTTCTGATTACAATATTACCGATTGATCTTACATCTTTTTATTTCTTAAGTAAAATGAAACAAGTGCCATGGAAATTGTGTATACTAAATGGGATGAATTCAAGAAAGGATAAGAAATTAGAGAAATGTCTCAATCCTTTATATCAATTGGTAAAACGAATAAAATGTGTCAATACTTCACACATATCCATAGGAGAAGCGAATAAAGAACCAACAAAAACAAACCATGATAGGAATGCTGACGACAGAGGCGAAAAGTGATGGGATGAATTCCATTCATAAATAATGAACCAGTTCAACAGGATGAGGCGAAATAGAAGAAAACAACTGCAGGCTGTATGTGACGTATAACAACACACAGCATAATAACAATTATGATGATAATGATGATGGTAGTGCTGATGATTAATAACATATATGTTTGTTAGAATACATCATATTAACGGACTGACTTTCTTCTTCTTATTCCTCTCTTCCACCTTGTACTTCAGCGAAGTGTCGGGGGAAATTGTCACATTCGTTGATTAGCTCATTTCGTTTGGATATTGCCTAATATTTAAATTACCCCAAGCAGACATTGTTGAGAATAAAGATAAGCGTAGTCCAGTATACATTGTTGTTAATGTAGATTAAGATAGTCCAGTATACATTGTTGCAGACAAAGAATTCAGGCAGTCTAGTAGACATTGTTGAAATTAACGAATGAGAAAGTTCAGTAGACATTGTTGAAACTAAACATTGAGAAAGTTCAGTAGACATTGTTGAAACTAAACATTCAGAAAAGTAGACATAAAAACATTGAGAAAGTTCAGTAGACATTGTTGAAACTAAACATTGAGAAAGTTCAGTAGACATTGTTGTTGAAACAAGAGTTCAGTGAGAAAGAGAAAGTTCAGTAGACATTGTTGAAACTAAACATTCAGAAAGTTCAGTAGACATTGTTGAAACTAAACATTCAGAAAGTTCAGTAGACATTGTTGAAACTAAACATTGAGAAAGTTCAGTAGACATTGTTGAAACTAAACATTGAGAAAGTTCAGTAGACATTGTTGAAACTAAACATTGAGAAAGTTCAGTAGACATTGTTGAAACTAAACATTGAGAAAGTTCAGTAGACATTGTTGAAACTAAACATTGAGAAAGTTCAGTAGACATTTGTCACGAAAAAGATAAAGACGGTCCAACAGACATTAATCAGAATAAAAATGAAGGTAATCGCAGAGCATCTGCTATCGTTGAGATGTGAACTATTAGGGCGTCATGTGTTCTACGCCTTGACATCTACGTGTGGGGAGACCGGGTTTCCTTTCCAAATGCGCCCCCACCCCCCGCACCTCTCATTCTATTAAAAAAAATTACCAGAAAGTCTTGTATAAATTATCAGTTACCATTAAAGGGGAAGTCAGTGAAGCCGGTGTGAACTTGACAATATCACCAATGGAGCAAGAGGTTCAGAGCGATTCTGTTTTGGTCTTGTTCACGTTTGCAAGCTCTTCTACACACTACCTGATCTTTCATTCATACTTTCTCAGACTCTTCTACGAGGGGTGTCACGTTGTCTTTCCTCCAATTACATCATTGCTGATGTCGTGTGTTCTATACCACATGATGACACAGCTTTCAACGACCTTAGAACATGTAAAACTAGCCCTAACCCAAACCCCTCTACCCAAGACCGGCTCCAGCTGACAGCCTGTCTTGCCTCAACCTAGGTCAAACGAGAGACTCTTTTCGAAGAAAGCAGTGCAACGTGACACCCCTCTGACCTAGATCAGACTGAGAAAGTGTGTAGATGGCCCGGGAAACGTCAACAGGTCCTAAATTTGCCAAACCCACAACTAAACTCAGAAAATATCGATTTGGGAAAGAAGGGTTGGGTGGGGGGGGGGAGGGGGGGGGGGCCTTTAGGGGATCTGTGCCCACAGTTCTAGTGCCTATAATTACTCAAGGTCGTAACTCATATTGCTTGTCTGTTTCTTTATAACTAGCCGCCAGTTGAAACGGTTGTGAGAATCTGAGACGGTTTGGAATGGACAAAGTCTTAGGTTGAAGTTTAAACAGCGGATCAACATCATGGCACAAGGGTAGTAACCCATAAGTACTCTGTTCTACTTCTGACTCCATTCTGACTCAGCTCTGTAGCAACAGCGGGGATCATGAAACACTTAGGGTAGATTGTTAACTCAAAATTTTGCCCGGATCGCCGTTAGGCTACTCTTTTTCGATTCCCAAATGCTAAGGAGTTCTTTACGTGCGCAACAAAACACACCTGCTTCCGATGTTACTTCCAGAGACCAGGGGATAATAACTAGAAGTCTATGTGAAAACTGCCAGCCACTAGGCGTAAACCCGGACCTCCGGCACTCGAGGCGGACGTCATGCCTCGAGAACACGCAGCTCCCAGAATAAGTCATATTTCACAGGACATGATAAATTTACTGCGACTTCTAAGAAACAGAATCGGCGAAGGCGTTCCCACTCATCTGCTGTGTCGCCTAACCTAAACTTCTGGCCTGAATCAAGTAATCGTGATTGCTGTCGTTATTGCTCTCGTTTGAGGTCATTAATGTTGCTTATCTATTCAATTATGTGTCGCTGGCTATGCGTAATCACGTTCGACGTGAGGTATTCACGTCGTTGCAATTA